TGTAGAGAAGCCTGCACTCCCGTTGTTCTAACGTCTCAAATGCTTCCCCAAAGCCTTGCTTGCCTTGCTCGGTGGGCTCGGCTAGGTTGCTGCGTTCTCGAACCCGGCTTTCCATGTCGGCAGCATTGGGCTAAGTGGTGGGTGTGGGAGGCTGCGTGGTGCCCAGGGCGGGTCACCACCGTCGGGTTCTCCTTGGCATCTGCACGCGGTCTGTCTGCACGTCAAACTCTCCTCCACCAGGGTCCACTTGCACGTCCTGACAGCGGACCATGACGTGGGCGACTCTGGACTGGCCATCACGACTCTCCCCTTTGTCATCGCCAGTGTGGGCGGACAGAATAAAACCTCCCCGGTGGCTCTGGCTCGCACGCACAAGAGAGCTCCCATGTTTTCCTTTCTCGGTTAATCATTTCTCATCTTCTTTCCCATGAAACCACCTTTCCGAGGTAGGGTCTGCACAGCTCGGAGGCTATTTGAGCGCAGTAACATCTCCGTTCTTCTCTTTCCATGGCCGGTGATGGTCTAGGTCATGCTGCACCAGCTCGGCCACGGTGGCGAACTTCTCCCTCCAGACAGGTCAGAGGAATCGCCCGTGTTCTGCATCTTGACGGGGGCGACTGCTCCATTTCTTCGAAGGCAAACTGTGAAGTCTCCAGGGTTACTCTTAATGGGCCTTGCCAAAAAAACCTGCCATCCATACCTCTTGTCAGCAGCAGGTGTTCTGCCTCCACACCGGTGATTATTTGGGTGAAACCATCTCTGCGATGTCATGTTCCTCCCACCCTCTGCCTCCGAGACCGCCTCCTCTTAGCAATGGCTCCGCTGGGCCAGGTCACACCAGGCTGACTCCAGGGAGGACTGGACAGGGGGCAGAGCCAGCCAGCCATGTGCAGAACCCCCTCCAGGCCTGGGGATCCTAGAGTCTGTGCAGCTGCTGGCCCCACCACCAACTCCCAGCCTGGTTCATCAAATTTATACTTGAGACATTTATCTATACTCACCCAGAAATTTCAGAGGCGACTACTATACCAGTCAGTTAGTCTAAACTTCTTTTAAACAAGAGCATTCTCCTAATACTCGGAAGTCACACCTCATGTACGTCCCTCCTTAAGAAATGCATAGTCTTTTAAATACCGTAGCCAAAACACAGTCATAAACAAGAGTTGGCTAAGAGTAGAGGCACTCTGGTTCATGTTCATCCAAAATGGGGTCGCCGGCAGACCAGCAAGATTAAATATGAATGCAATCATAACCAACACATGGGATCACTTTTTTCTCCCAATAAAAAAGCTAGTCCCCCAAAGTCTCAAGACTCTATAAAGATGTATCATTTCTAAATCAGAGTGAAAGGAATTTCATACAATTGACCAATCTTGTTTTTTGCTATTGCCTTAGAGATCGAGATCTCACTAGAAATTAGTATTGAACAGAAGGACACGTGCAGAATGTAATGTTGTAGTGACAATCCTGAGGTTGATTGTTATAGACATACGTACTCTTTGAGTATGAAATGGTTACATCTTATTAATATAGAACATTGGTCCAATACCAGAGACATGGAGAGCGGCAGCTGGAACTATCCCTCCCTCAATGTGCAGAGATGAAAGATGAACTGTTCTTTCCATTATTTTCTGTAGGTAAGTCCTTTTTCAGATTGAAATCTGCTGGTGATTGATTTCTGGCTTTTTTCCAAGCTACTGCGTGAACAGGATGCTGAATGCCATCTCTATACAACATAAGGACTCTTCCATTCACCAATTCTGGCACACTTCCCCAATATGCCCAGTAATTCTGTTTTATTTCTATCCAGGACGCTGGGTGCCAAGAATAGAACATCAGCACAGGTACAGATAAGCAGCAAGATTATAGTCGACTCTGAAAAATTGAAAATGGCAGAGTGAGCCCGGCGAAGCCGTGACTGCTAGTTTTAAGCCACTGCATTTTGTGCCTTAAGTTCCTATGTAATCTTGTGAATTGCTGTTGTCAGTTTGACCCCATATAGTTGGTTTTTTAAAAATCATTTTACTAGGGGATCATACAGCTCTTATCACAATCCATCCATACATCCATTGTGTCAAGCACATTTGTACTTTTTTTGCCATCATCATTTTCAAAACATTTTCTATTTGAGCTCTTGGTATCAGCTCACGTTTCCCCTCCCTCATGAACCCTTGATAATTTATAAATTATTATTTTTTTCATGTCTTACACTGACCAATGTATTCCTTCACCCACTTTTCTGTTGTTCATCCTCCAGGGAGGAGGTTATATGTAGAACCTTGTGATTGGTTCCCCCTTTTCACCCCACCCTCCTGGTATTGCCACTCTCACCACTGGTCCTGAAGGGTTCATCTGTCCCTGATTCCCTGTGTTTCCAGTTCCTATCTGTACCAGTATACATCCTCTGGTTTAACTGGGTTTGTAAGGTAGAATTGGAATCTTGATAGTGCGGGGGTGGGGGTGGGGGTGGGAATGAAGCATTTAAGAACTAGAGGAAAGTTGTATGTTTCATCATTGCTACACTGCACCGATTGGCTCGTCTCCTCCCCGACAACCCTTCTGTAAGGGGATGTGCAGTTGCCTACAGATGGGCTTTGGGTCTCCACTCTGCACTACCCTCATTCTCAATATGATTTTTTTTTCTTTGATCCCATATAGTTCTTAAAAGAACGAAATACTCAAGGAAAACTTTTTTCCTAGTTAAGCTTAAGTATTCAATTTTAAGATGACTTCAGGGGATATTTTTGCTTTAAGGATTGAAGGTTATTTGAGGGCAATAGTTTTAGGGATTCAGAAAGCCTGGAGTCCATAAGCATTTGAATTGTTCTACATTTCTCCCCTTTTGATCAGGAGCCTTCTATGGCATCTTTGATCAACATGCTCCTTATTCATAATCAACCACCATTCAGTTGTTTGGGTTTCTTGGCAAAGGTGGCAATTGTTCATGGAGATAATTAGCTATATCCCATACCCTCCTCCTATCCTCCCCCACCCCCACCCACCGTTGTTCTTCGTGAAGAGAGACCAATTGCTGATGTTACAGGCAGAGCTGAGAAACTGTGGACAAATTGGGAGCACAAGTCTCACAGGAACATCAAGGGTGACCCCGGGGGTTTGGCGTGGAATTGCCAAGTGCTGAGAATGGAGAGACTAAGAGGAGCAGGTTTGAGGTAAATTCATAGGAATTCAGGTTTTAAGTTTAAGATCTTAAGTCTGAGGTCCTTTAGATTTCTGAGGCCCAGTGTGTCTGCTGTGCAGAGCAGGGCCCCGAGGGGAGGTACAAGTTTGGGAGTTAACAGTGAATGACTGGTAATGAGACTGAAGTTGTTCAGAATGAGAATCAGGTGTACAGTTGTGGGCTACTGACCCCAAGGTCTAAACCCCCTTCAGACGCTATGCTGCTTCTCTGAATCTCTTTAAGCCTTTGGAACAACTGGACAGATAAGGGTTAGTCACATTCAACACAAATGGAGATGGGACAGTCTCTGAAGCCCAGATGACAGATTCCTATTAACGAGCCAAAAGTTCAGGGTCAAGGAATTGACCCTGCTCTGTGCCTGTCTCATCTCTGTGAGTCAGCGAGGACAGAGATGTTCACGAGGTGGATGAGTGGGTCAGATGACTATGTGGAAGAGCGGTTTGCACATCGACCACACTCATGAAGTTCAAGTTGCTAGGATCCGGCCAACAAGGATGGGCTTCTTCAGCCTAACACTAGCAGATGCAAATATGGTCAATTGTGGACACTTCCTTCCATCAAACAGTTACTGCCAGATGGGATCTGTCACAACACCCCAAGGAGAAGAGTCAACGTGACTAGTTTGGGTCCACGTTATAAAACGTGGACCAAATAATGTGCCTCAGCCGTTAGTCCAGAAGAGAGTCTACCAAGGCGCTTGGGAAAACCCACACGACAGCGAGTCACAAAGCGATTAAGACGCTATTTTAATCCCGTTTCACTCAATGGTCGTTTCTCTCCTGAGTCACTTGCATTCTTAGCTCACCTTTCTTTGAGTCAGGCCTTCTTTAAAAACAGATTTTAAAATTTGATTGTGCACCAGAGAAGGAAGGCGATGACAAATTCCTAGATGAGCAGCCCTGAGGCTTTAAAAATCCAGTCCAAGCAGGTAGCTGCTATCCAACCCCTCCCTGGCTCAAGGTCCCTGAGCCTTTGGAATTAGAATATTCAAAAGAAGTGCTGAGGAGGTGGTGCAAAGAAACACCCTATCAAGTTCACGGGGACAGCTGCTACACTGCCTCATAGAAGCGGTGCCCCGGAAGAGTTTATAGTTTGGAAGCAGAAGAGAAAAACATACACACATTCATGAGACCAACAAAATTAAGTTCAAAAGCCAACGGACACGTGTAATTATGTGTGGATTCGAGAATTATAGACACATCTTGCATATTATAGATGAGAGTGTTCTTGCTAACTGCCATAGTCGATTCGATTCATGGTGCCCCTCTGGGTGAAGGAGAACTGCTCGATGGGGTTTTCAATCCATGACCTTGCAGAAACCCATCCCCAGGTGTGCTTTCCAGGGGCCTCTGGGTGGCTAGTCTAAAGGGCACTGTTTCAGCTGGGAGTCAAGTATTTAATTGTTTGCGCCACTCAGCAACTCCATCTGGCACCGAACAAATGCCAAATAAGCAAATACTCCTATTATCCCATCATGTTTCCATATACTGGCGTGCCTAAGAGGTTTATGACCTGGGGCGCACCTGAGTGAGAATCTGGTAGGTCTGGGAGTAGGGTGTGGAGACAGGGCAGGAGGCTGAACATGATCAACTTCGAGCTGCTCCAGCCAACCAGCAGTGACACTGAGCACCTATTGCAGCAGATGATGCAATCAAGAACATTATCATGTTCCAGACAGCAGCTCCTGACTCCAGGTAAGAGAAGCAGAGCCACATGCAGACCCACCTGGCCTGTGTTCCCGGCCCCATCCTCCCCGCCCCTGTCTTTGCCCACACCGAGGAAAGAAGAGACTCAAAGAAGCTTCTTTCTGAATGTGCATCACCATTTATTGTCATTTCAGTTAGGGACTGAACAGAGGACATTGTCTGTGAGGAGGGGGGAAAAAAGGAAAAGAAAAAGAAAGTATGTTTTTTGTAGACTTAATTTAAAACACTTTATGGTTTCAAATCCTTTTTTACCCCACGGGGAATCCAAGAATTCAAGTATGTTCTGTAGGGAGCAGTAATACAAAAAGGTGTGTGTGTGTGTGTGTGTGTTTGCATGTGCGTGTATGCGTGTGTTTACATAAACAGATGTACTTCCACATTTCTTGCACCCTTTTTGCTTTGGTAAGGCCAAGCCCCAAAGGACACGTCATACAAATGACCCTGCCTTAAACTCACAGACTCAAGAGTAGAGGAACTGATTTACCCTTGGGGGACAACTGCAAAGGCTTAGAACTGTCGTGTAGTATTTTTAAAAACCATCCCTATACCCACCTCCCACCCCCCCAAAAACCCGAACCAACCAACCAACCAAAGGTCAGGTAAGTCCCGATGTCCTCCCATGCCTCCGTGGTGGTCGCTGCTTCTCAGCGTCCCAACAGGTGTCACGTGGACTGGAGGAGCGGCTGGAGCCACTTCATTTGGTTCAGAATAAAAAATTTTTAGGAGGGGCATTGCAAAAGAAAAAAAAAAAGAAAAACTGAAATTCAAATTCTGAAAATAGCTTGCCTTTTTTATTAATCATGTCATCTAACACCAATTAAAAAAAACAAGTATGTGAATATGATATAAAAATACGATCCCAGGATTAACACTTTGTTGCAGGCACAGTTACCTCACAGAATCTATGTTTGGAGGGCCAGAGGAGAGAGGTGATTTCTGTTTTTGCTTCTCTTTAAAAAAAATCCACAGCAGTGCAAGTCGGGGACGTCGGGAAGGAGGAGGGCGGGGGAGAGTATTTAGCAGCAAAATGTCCAAGGTTCTCTAATCACAATCAAATCAACGGATATGGGGTTTAAAAAACAAGAACAACAACAGATGACGGCGACGCTGCCCAGCCCCACTCGCCACTGCTATCAGCTGCAAAAGCCCCAGACGTGAAGGACGCACTTTTATTACGTAAGCAACCACAACATGTGTCCCTCGAGCTTTTGACCGTGTTTGTCACTTAAATATATGTACAGGAATTGGGCTCCTCTTCTCGCCGCGTCCTCTTAGACCCTAGCGTTTGGTCACTCTGGGTGGGCTCGTGGTGCGTGTGGCCACATGTGGCCTCCGACGTGGCTACAGCATTTCCGCCACCAATGCTGCCTCCTCTGTTGGCCTCACTGGCCTTGGCTGTTTCAAGCAGGGGCTGGGCACGGGGGGTGGCTTAATGGTCACTGTTCTGTTTCTCTCTCATCCAGGTCTGAATCTGCTCTTTCAGTTCCGGCACTGAGGAGAGAGACGGAGAGAGAGAGAGAGGATTAAGGCCTCGCCTGGGAGGGTGCTGTTTGAGAGAAGATGTTGGAAATTCTTTCTTTAAAAATGGAGACACAAGGCTATTCAGCCCTCACATCAAGCTGAGAATTGTAGAAGGCAAGGCATGGGGGTACATATTTAAAAATATGGTTCACGTCTTTTTCATACAAAGTGCCATTGACTAGATAGGTTCAGGGTTTGATAAAGTTTCCTCTTCTGATTCATCTCTGGTGCACGCTTCCTGCTTAATCTCTTGGCCCTGGTGTCTGTGCGGCCAGCCCCCCGAGCTGGGCACCCCCTACCTGGCTCCAGCATGCTCTCTGTCAGTGTCTGTCGGTTGAAGGGGTCGGTGGGGGAGTTCAGCAAGTGCCGCAGGATGATGGAGCGGTCCATGATGGTGCCCGATGGGAGTCGCACGGGGTCAGTCATCAGGGTGTCCATCAGAGGGTCTGTAGGGACAGAGATCCTTTGTCAACCCGAGTCTAATCTAATGCTTGAGCAAATCAGGACAGTACACCCGCAGGACAGCCCCCGACTTTGGGTGAAGGCAAGGAGAGTCGCCTTTGCCAGCTGGTGCTGGGAGGAAAGAGTGGGGCAGACACAGCCCCCGGCCCTGAGCGCTGCATCTAAGAAGGGCTCAGCTGGGCCGGGCACGTGAGCCCTCACTTAGAAAGGTAGCTGTCTGGTGAAGGCCCTTCTTTTCATTTACAGTAGGAATGAAAATTAGGGAACTGTAATGTCAGGCCACGTGTTTTAGAAAGCATCTCTCTCTCGCCTCCCATCAATTCAACTCAGGGCTTTCCAGAGCTGTGAATCTTTATAGGCTCAGATGCCTCATCTTTTCTCCTCGGAGCAGGAGGTGGGTTTGAACTCTCAACCTTTTGGTTAACAGGTCAACAAGTAGCCTCCTGCACACGCCGCCAGGGCTATCAGAAAGCAACCACAACAAACCGTTCACAAGCTAACAGCACACATTAGCTCCCTTTGAATGCTGCTCTCGGAAGTAAACTCCTTGCCAAAGAATTCTGCACTTGCACTTGCCTCGGAACTCATCGGGCGCATCGCTGTAGTCGATCTCCGCGCGCGCATTCTTGGCGACGATCTCTTCCACTTTCTCGGCCAGAAGCTTAAACTTCTCGATTGCGATGGTGGACTTGATCCCGGCCTTGCGCATCTTTGAGATCACTTCTTCGAACAACTCCTTGCTGTAGGATCTCTGCAATGAGGAAAGGCGATGTCAGTGGGAAAACACAGCAAGCTGCAGAAAATGTTTCCTTCTTTTCAGAAAGTCCTAAAAAGCACACAGGCCGAGAAAACTAGGATAACAGAAGCCCGAGTGGATGGGCAGGTTATTATTTCTGGGGCTGAGGCAAATGAGGGGTGAGGGGGACTTTTTAGAGCCAGCCTGGCGTTTCTAGTCGGGGCGAGATGTCAGGGGAGAGGGTACTTCCCCTGCTTGTGGGGCATGGTATCCTGGAGGTGCCCCACAGGCTGGGCCTTTCTGCTCTTTGGCATGAACATCCGTAAAGCGCATGGAGCGTTCCCCCACTCTCTACCAATCCTTATTCAAGAAACTTTTGCTAAGAATCCCCCAGGCCTCCGACATGGGCGCATCCAGACAAAAGTGTGAACAGACTTGAGTCATGTCCACAGGATGGGCTGTGCTTAAAGGACAAATGCCAACCATACTGCCAGCCAAGCCTGGTCATGAATTCGGTGCCTACCACCTCCTGCCTGTACTGAGCTTGTGGAATGCCAGCTGGTTGGTTGTTGACTCCCAGGGTCCCGGTGAGACAGAGCAGCCCTGCCCTGTGGAGCTGTCTAGTTCTCATCTCTGTGGGAGCTGACTGCCAGGACGCCCACCTGCTGGCCCCCGGTGAGCAGGCAAGTGCCTAACCTGTGTCACCAGGGCTACAACAGCTTGTCGCTTGAGGGCAATCTCCAACGCTGAGTAACAGAGGTGAGACATGACAACAACAACAACAAAAAGGAAAATCATAAGAATCGGCAAGGATGTGGAGCACGCTGCTGGTGGGGGTGAAGACCTTCCACACAAATGACCACACGATGGAGTCATCTGCTTTAGGTGGACTCCAAGCCAACTCCCTACCTGCACAGTACCGTTAAGACATCCAATGGCATTGGCACTGGACAGATCTGCTGCCCAAGACCTCCTGGGGGAGTTCAAGAGCAAAGGTGTCGCTTTGGGGGCTAAGGTGGACCTGATGCAACCCGTGGTATTTTCAATCGCCTCGTATGCCTGCAAGAGCTGGACAACAAAAGAGGAAGACCAAAATGAATGGACGCCTTTGAGCGATAGCGTTGGCCGCCAGAGGCACACACGTCTGTCCTGAAGAAGAACAGCCAGAATGCACCTTTGTACGAAAGAGGACGCCCTCAGCAAGAGGGACTGAGACGTGCAGCTGCAGTGGCTGAAACAGCGCAGCGACGGACCGTGAGCACGGCGCAGGACCCGGCAGTGTTCCATTCTGTCATGCACAGGGTGGCTGTGAGTCAGACCGAGCCGATGGCACCTGACGAAAACACTACGCATAGAGAATTAACTGCTTAGAATACCCCTTCCATACGCGTTTTAAAATCTAAAGAGTCACCGTATGATACAGCAGTTTGACTCCTGTGTACATACCGAAGACAGAAAATATGTATTTCAACAAGTAATTACACATTAGTGTTCACAGCAGCATTGACCATAAAGCAAAAAGACTGACACAACCAAATGTCCATCGCCAGATGAATGGACACACACAAGGTGGTCTGTCGATGCAATGGGACCGGAATCCAGCCCTCAAGAGAAATGAAGCCTGATGCATGTTGCAACCCAACGAGCCCCAAGAACTGCCGAGTGAAGAAGCCGGGCACTAGAGGCCGCACGCAACACACTTCCATTCACGTGAGCGGTCAGAGGGTAGATCCAGACATGGAAAGCAGGTGACTGGCTGGCTGTCAGGCCTGGGGGGAATGGCAAGCGACTACTTGACGGACCCCAGGACGCCTCTGGGGAGATGGAAATGTTTGGTGCTAGTTGCACAACACTGTGAACCTATTACACGTCACTTAAAAATGGTCGAATTTGTGGCTGGGAAATTTCACACAAAAGCATTAAACGGCAGCAACAACAAAAAGCGTCAGGCCAGTGGGGCACTGACTCAAACTTCTGCCTCCCTCCCCGGCTCCCACCGCCCAGAGTAGAGAACCACTCACGTATAGGAAAGCCTGCATGGGATCCGGTGGGCTTTCTCAAGTTCTGACGAATGATGGCCCTGGACAAGGCTCCCACCGCTGTGGTCTGCGTGGAACTGGGTTCGGCCAGTAAAAGCAGGGCCGGAAGTGGCCGTCAGTGCAGGTCACAGGCCTGATGCAAGGACCTCTCTGCACTGCCCCCATCCTTCACCTCTGTCCACTGTGGTCAACCCCTTCTTGAGAGACAGGAGAGAAGCCTCCTTCTTCCCAGGAGAAATTAACAGTGCCTTCTTCCCTTTGTTTGCCCAGGAGAACGAGACACACCCAGCAAGGCACAGCCACTGGCTCCAGAGAGAAGACGAGAGGCTGCCCCTCATCCGGGACCATCCAGCCTTCCGTCCTCTTCTGAAACAACCAGGAGGCCAGACCTCTCGCCAGCCAGTCCAAATGGAAACTGCCCAGTGGTCACCAGAGACCACATACTGTGAACAGAGATAAGCCAACACGCAAACCCCTGCCCGTGTTTCTCTCCCCGTGGCATCAGCAGCACGTGAGCAGCTGCCTTCTGAATGGAGCCAGGCAGGGCTGTGTGGACACTCCCGCCCCACGTGCGGACACCGCTGCCCACACCACGAGCAGCAGCAGGCAGGGCTGGCGTTTGGTTGGTCACTCCTCTATCATCTACTCGGTGGTCCTTTTCTCACTCTCGTGGTCTGCTTGTCCACACTGCACGCTTTCTCTGTGTGACCCTAACCTCCTGGGATGGGCAGCCGCAGCAGCCGTACAGGAGAATTGGAAAACCAAACCAATGTACTGCCCCCCAGTGCTGATACAAAGGGCTCACGTAGAAAGAAAACACTTCGAAATGAGGATAGCCAACATACGCACAAATGTGACTGATACAATTGATGTATGGATTGTTATAAGAGCTGTAAGAGCCCCCTATTGTTGTAATGATACAACAATAATACTAGAGAAATATATCCTAGAAACTTCTCAAACAACAATTTTAAGGTGTCCAAGTGGGGAGAGGGAAGACTCCATGGGATTACTTAACAAGCAACCCCAGCCCGCCAGGTGTAGCAGCCAGAACCCTCGGTTCTTCCCGAGAGGGTCTCTCTGGCCCCGAGACACTGACCTGGTCGTCAGCAATGGCTTTCGCAAACCGAGCACAGTCCAGTTGCAAGTAGATATCTGTCAGTTGGTCCAACAGCTTCTTTGGTTCAAAGCCATATTTCTCGGGGTTTTCAACTTTCAGGTCACGGCACTTGGGGCCACACAGTTGTTGAAGGTTAAAGTTCAGCATCGCAGCCAAACGGGGCCCAAGTTCCTAGAAAATCAGAGGATAACAAAACGGATGCCGTTGAGACGAGCAAGAAGGACCCCCACCCCATTTCCCAGTGAAGGGAGAAGGAGGGCGCCTGGATCGCCGAGCCCCCCAGGCGCTGCACAGTCAAACGGTCTCTTCCAGCCGCTTCCATTCTGATAATTGGGACATTTAACGCAAGGCGCCCAGCTGATAAGGTATTTGTAAACAGCCACGAGGCAACTTTTTCTACACATTTCTCTTTTAATTAACACAAAAAAGTCTCACTCCACAGAGCAGGTAAATGAAAAAGAACTAGTCACGAGCCCATCATTCTACCTCGAGTCACCAAAGTGCTTGCGCCCACGCTTCCAGCCACCCTTTCATGCGCGTTTTCATACACTGCCAGAGTCCCTGGCCGGTGGGGCAGTCCCTGTCACTCTTACTTGTATATCAGACACAATGAGGGCAGAAATGCAACAGAAGGAGAAGAGAAAATTTATGTCCTGAATTGTTCACGGTCTTGCTGGTGAAACAAAGCAAAATGACATGAAACAACTAGAAAGGAAGGAGAAAACAGGCAAGAAGTAAGCGGATCTGTAGTACGGATAGTGATAAGTAAGAGTTGTTTTAGCCCCCACTAAAATGATTTAAAAAAATAAGAAGAAGTAAGCGGATCTGTAGTACGGATAGTGATAAGTAAGAGTTGTTTAAGCCCCTACTAAAATGATTTAAAAAAATAAGAAAAAGAAAAATGATATTATTTTTATCTAATTAATAGTCCCACCTGGAATAAAAACTTTATCTTCATAAAAAAACCACAAAAGAAGTAAGCCAATCTGAAGTACGAAAGCCTGGCTTGGCAGCATTTACTGTATACACTCGAGTATAAGCCGACCCGAGTATCAGCCAAAGCACCTAGTTTTACCACAAAAACGGCATTAAAAATGTGCTGGAAAGCCCAGCTTATACTCGAGTATATACGGTAACCGTTGAAAAGCTGTAAACTACAGGAGTGATCAGAGTACGGTAGATGAGAAGCAGCCAGTAGAGTCAGGGACAAGGGGCAGCAAGCTCACAGTAGGCCCAGGGGTGTGTGTGGGCGGCACCCTCGGGTTGTGGCTAAGTGCTGTTGAGTCGGACTCACGGCAATCCCACATGACAGAGTAGAACTGCCTCGTGGCATTTCCTCCACTGCAATCTTCGTGGAAGCAGAGTGCCGGGTCTTTCTCCCGCAGACCACCAGGTGGACCAATGTGCCACGCCACTGCACCACCAGGGTTCCCTGACAGATCCGCGTGCACTGAGAGACGGGCGAGGGCTTCCAACAGAGCCGCACACTTTAACTGACAGCAGCATTCACGGACTTCCTATCATGTCCTTTGGAAAATGAAGACCTTAGAACTAGAACGAGGCTCCTGATGATTCACTCTCAAATCATTCAATAGCTTCCTATCGACACAGGCACATACCTGCACTCCCGGGACCGCCCACTTCAAACAAAACAGCTTTAGACAGAGGATGGCGAAAACTGACCCCACATCTGCTTTTGGAAAATGTCGTTTTCTTGCAACGTATCCACATTCATCTGCCTCTGCACTGTCTGTGGTTGTTTGGGGGCCACCAAAAGAGGCTTGCACCGCTGTTGACAGAGACCAGGTGAGCCCCCAAAGCCTAAGCTTCTCCAGAAAAAGGTTCAAGAAGGGGAGATAGGCAAACCGCTACGGGAAGCAAGTGTCTGAACGGTCTGGTGTACAGGTCTGGTGTACATTCGGTGCGGCATTTTCACAGGCCAGTCCTGCTCTGCGGCAAGCCCCTGCTCCCGAACTCAAATCTGTCTCTGAAACCGCAGGAGGGGAAAGTGGACGGAGAGCAGGTGACTCGGCTCTTGAGTGGTCCCCCGGCCAGGGCGTGGTGACCACCGCCTCTCCTGGTGAGGCCAAAATGAGTTGTGTGGCAGAGGGAAGAGGACATGTTAGATAGTAAAATTCTATTCCCCTGTAAACTCTTTATCTCCACACAGCCAGAGAATACCGAATCTCAGGCCCCACCGTTGTTCTCACCGGGAAGCTCCTGACCGCATGACGGGAAAGATCAAAGAAAGGCCACCAGCTTCAATTTCAGACACGGGACCCAGGTCACGTCAAGGACAAGCATTTTGACTTTCCTTTATATACCATAAACTCTAATTATGGCTCTTATGAACCTTTGGTTTCCTATGTTTTAGCAGAGCCACTCTAATAGAAATAATTACACACCAAGCAGACATCTATTTAAGTAGAAGTAACCGCTTTTCGGCATAGGTGCTACTGGACAGTCTTCTGATAAGTGATATAGAAACCAATAGGGAAAAAGCACGTCACGGCTTCAACACGCATACCCCACTGTGGTGTCTGCGCAGCAAGTGCATTCAGCCATTTTGGAAGGACACTGTGCAGGCTGGGATGTGGGACTGGAATGCCCCAATACCCCGGAAGCAGAGAGCTGTGGGTGCTCAGAGCATAAGTGGGCACAACGTCAGCAACAGGCTTTGACGTGTCAGTGACACCTGCCCCCCCCCTCGTCCCTCACCACTGTGTGAACGCCGACCGATAAAGACACTGCAAGACAGAGTGGACCTGCCCCTGTGGGCTTCCAAGACTAGAACTCTTTAGAAAGCCCGGGCTTTCTCCCCTAGTTGAAGCTTGTGGTTTTGAACTGCTGACCCTACAGCTAACAGCCCTCCCACTACCCCACCAGGGTTCCTTTATCAGTGAACAGGAAGCTGAAACTTCCAGGATTCCACAACGACCCTAAAAAAAAACCTAAGTGAGAAAGTTTGAAGGGAGAACCCAGGGGACCCAACCAAGACCCCAAAGTTCATGCTCACCGGTCGGAGGAACGGCTTCTGGACTTGCTTGGTGAGGATATGGAACATGTCCACGGTTTCCGTGGCCAGCGCCAGATAAGAGCGGGACACACGCTCATCCTGAGCCAGCTGGGACTGACGGGCCTGCTGCTGGTCCTAGAAAAGGGGGAACAAAAGGCGGACAAGGCTCAGTGCTGCCCATCAGCTCACCGAGACACCCCGGGCTGGGGACAAGGGTGCTGTGAAGCCAACAGGTTGCACGGAGACTATTTCAACCTCCACCAGTGAACTATCCAGCAAACCCTGCTTTGGGCATCAGAACTCTGGACTTTAACTATGCTGGGTACAAAGCTCCCTGAGAACCAATGTACATGGTCTTTGGTAGAATGGTACATGAGAAAGAGTTTGGGTGCTGAAAAGCTTTGTGGACTCAGGCCAGTCTGAGTTCCAGTGCCCAAAGGACTCTGCAGTGCCTTGCCCGAGTTCATGCCCATGAGCATCCATCTCCTCCAGGATGAAGGAAGTCACCACCATGTCCAGGCAGGTAACAGAAGAGAGTCGCTCATCGGACTGGATGTGCATTGGTGCGCAGGAAGTGTGAGTTCACTTCTCTTCACCACTTTTAAGTAGCAGGCATTGTTATTTAAAAAAGAAAAAAAATTCCCTAACGTCTTGCACCGATGCTTAGGAATCGTCCCTCCTTAAGCGCCTCAAGACGGCGAGGCTTTTAGTCTATTGCCTTTCCTCTGTTAGGCTGTCGCCCCTCACAGCTGTCAACGTACTTGCCGCCGGCACCACTCTGCTCCTTCCACTCTGCCAAGGGCTGGGAAATAAGAGAAGAGTGTGTCTGACTCCTGCGTAAAATAAAGTCATGCCCTGAAGGCTCTGAGGTGGATAAAACATAGAAATATCAGTAAAGACTTTAAATTTTTTTCTTTTTTTAAAAGACTTTAAATTCTTACATCTCCTCAAGGTCTTTTCACTTTCGGTTGGGCAGTGCCAACATGGGGGAAGGGAAGGGAACAGCAGGAATAGCTAAAGGTGCCAACCGAGGGCCCTCAGGGAACCTGCTCGTGAGTGTGCTGGGCGGAGATTCTGCTCTGACACGGGGCGCCTGAGCCTCGGTGCTCCCTGGGTAAGAACGGGCCGACTGGAAGAAAGGGCGAACCAGAAATGGCACGAGAACAGCAAAGCACGAACAATCCGACTGGGTTAGAGCCTCGTGGGCTTGTTCACTAGATGTGAGCTGGTGTCTTCTACACGCCGGAGGCACTGGGGGAAGAAAGCGCAGGTCCTAACTGTTGGGTGCAGAACACCTTTTGTCCTCAGGGAGCAGGTTCCAGTTAGGGAGACAGACAACACACAGAAGAGACATGTGCAGCAAGCCTGGTGGTCCTAAATAAAAATAGAGCAGAGGAAGGAGGAGGGTGATGCTGAGGTCAGGGACACTATTCTGTCAGGAGTACCCAGGGATCACCCTTCTGAGGAGGTGCTATGGATTGAACTGTGTCTGCTGGGCCCAGAAGATATGTTGACGTCCTAGGCCCACGAACCTGAGAATGTGACCCTGTTTGAAATGAAGGGCTGTGATGATGTTTCTGTTAACATGAGGTCATTGTGGGCTAAGGTGGGTTCTGACTCAATGAGTGGCGTCCTTAGGAAAGAGAAGAGACGGACGTAGACAGAGAGAAGGAGGCCATGATAAGACAGAGGCAGAGGATGGAGCGATTCCAAGGACCACCAAGAACAGCTGTCACCAGAAGGTCACTAGGAGGATGGCACAGAACAGAGTGTCTTAGTGCCTCCACATGGAATCGACGTGGCCAATAGCCAGATTTCTGCTCCTCTGGCCTCCAGAACGATGACACAATCCATCTCGGTTCTTAGAGCCCACTTGATCTGCAAAACTTTACTGTGGGCGCCCTGGAAACAAATACAGGAGGGGGCAGCTTAGTGGCTATCTGAAGGAAATGAGTCAACAAAACACCAACCAAGAGTGGTCCAGGGAGAGGGTGTACCAGGTGTATAGGCTGTCGGTCTGTGGAGGAGCCCCGATGTTGAGTGAGTGAAGTGGGGAGAGAGGTGGGAGCCAGGGCAGAGAAGTGGGGGGGGGGCAATGACTCAGTGCCCTGCAGGCCACACCTCAACCAGATGCTGAGTGAGAGGGGAAGTCCTCAAGGGTTCTGAGTGATTGGTGATAAGAAACTGGGAGAACAAATAGGGTTACAACTCAGGCATGACACGAGATTGGCCTGCAAGTTGTCAGACAGTAATAGGTGTCTTTTTAAGCTAGGCTGCAGTCTTTGCTTCATCAGCAGTGCTTCAAGTCTTCCTCACTTTCGGCAAGCAAGGTTGTGTCCAATCCATCTAGAAGGTTGCTAATAAGCCTTCCTCCAATCCTGATGCTGCATCCTTCTTCGCAGACTCCAGCCTCTCAGATCATTTGCTCAGCATGGACTAAACATACAAAACGATTTAACCCTGATGCACACCTTTCCTGATTTTAAGCGATGCAGTCGTCCCTTGTTCGGGTTCTTTGGCAGCCTTTTAGTCTATGGACAGGTTCTGCATGAGCACAATGGAGTATTCTGGGATTCCCACTTTTCACAATGTCATCCACAGTATATTATGATCCACACAGTGGAATGCTTTGGCACTGTCAATAAAGCACAAGTACACATCTTTTCTGGTACTCTCTAGCCAAGATAAGCCACGATGTCCCTTGTTTCACAACCTCCTCTGAGTGCGGCCTGAACCTCCCGCAGTAACCACATGTACGACTGCAACTGCTGTTAAATGATCTTCGGCAAAGTTGTACTTGCACGTGATGTTAATAATATTGTTCAATAATTTGAGCATTCTGTCGGCTCACCTTTCTCTGGAATGGGTCCAAATAAGAATCTCTTTCCACTGGGTGGCCGGGTAGCTGTCTTCCAAATTTCGTGGCGTAGACAAGGGAGTGCTTCCAGGACTGCATCAGCTTGTGGAAACACTTCTATTGGTGCTCCATCAATTCCTGGCCTGGCTTTTCACTGATGCTGTCAGCGTGGTTTGGACTTTTTCCTTCAATGCCACTGGCTTTTGATCATATGCTGCCTCTTGAGCTGGCCGACTGGCTGAAGCGATTCTGTACGGATTCTTCTTTGATTCTTTCCGTGTTGTTCATTATTTTGCTCACAGAATCCATCAAGATCGCAACTTGAAGTTTTTTCTTCAATTCTTTTAGATCTAGGCTGTTCTTCTTAGCTTTCTAACACTTAGTATTTGCTTATTTCATGATAATACTCTTCATAGACACAGACAAAAAGGCAAAAGATGGTTCCAAAGTGGTGGGTGGGTCTCAATAAAAAGATAATGATGTCTACCAAGTGGACCAGGGACATATATAAACCATAATGGATTTTTTTGAGTTCGCACTTAGTTATACGCCTCATCTAAGAACAGTTAGTCGTATGATGTTGTCCCACTCCATACTTGCCATCATGAGGAGACCACTGAAGATATGGATGTTATGAAAAGTATAAAGAAGTTAGACTGTGCCCAGCTATCATAAAGACTAGCATCTGGGATTTTTAAGGTTTGCGTTAAAACAGGCGGCCATCTAAGTGAGGCATCAGCTAAGTCCATGTGGAAGAAGCACACCAGCATGTATGATCCAAGGATTATAAACAATAAAATCCAAGACCGTAGAAGGGAACAGTATTAGAACTTAAATTCTGGGCACTCCGTTTGCAGAAGACTATGAATGACAGCCAGAGACCAAAATTTGTTTGCAAGGTCCCCCTGTGGGACTAACCCTCTGGTGAGTTACCTCTGACCAATGATGACCAGGGATGTGAACAGCCTTGCTCTCACACAAGAGTGCACTGGACAGTGGGCTGACAACGATGTTGTCAGGTTGAAACTTAACACTTATCATCTGGTCTCCCCTTTGACCATTTTAAATGTGTCCTAGTTTTTATCAATTGAGGATTTTCTCTCTTCTTTTAAATTATTTTTTATTATTTTATTTTCTTATTTATTATTTTTAATAGTTTTATTAGGGATTCATACAACTCTTATCACAATCCATACATACATCAATTGTGTAAAGCATAGTTGTACATTCATTGCCCTCATTCTCAAAACATTTGCTCTCCACTTAAGCCCCTGGCATCAGGTCCTCTTTGTTTCCCCTCCCTCCCCACTCCCCACTCCTTCATGAGCCCTTGATAGTTTATAAATTATTATTTTGTCATATCTTGCCCTGTCCGACGTCTCCCTTCACCCACTTTTCTGTTGTCTGTCCCCCAGGGAGGAGGTCACATGTAGATCCTTGTAATCGGTTACCTCTTTCCAACCCACTCTCCCTCTACACTCCCAGTGTCGCCACTCACACCACTGGTCCTGAAGGGATCATCCGCCGTGGATTCCCTGTATTTCCAGTTCCTATCTGTACAAGTGTACATCTCTGGTCTAGCCAGACTTGCAAGGTAGAATTGGGATCATGATAGTGGGGGGCGGAGGAAATATTTAGGAACTACAGGAAAGTTGTATTTTTCATCATTGCTACATCGCACCCTGTCTCTGGGATAATTGTTTTTCAAAGAACTCTGACTCACTGTAAGCTGACACTTTGGTCTGTGTTCAAACCCACCAGCCACTCTGCAAAAGAAAGATCTTCTCTTTTATTTTGCTGTTGATATTCATTATTGTGTTTTCTTTTTGGGGTATATTTTTCTTTATTATAAATTCATGATAAGCCCATCCCTCCACCGCTCCACCCTGCGCCAAGGGGGATGAATAATAGAAATGTGGGTGAAGGGAGACAACGGATGACGTAGGATACGAAATAACAACAATAAAATATAATTGAACAAGGATTCACAAGGGAGGGAGGGGAAAAAAGAGCTGAAACCAAGGGCTCAAGTAGAAAGCAAATGTTTTGGAAACGATGATGGCAACATATGTACAAGTGTGCTTAATACAACTGAATTATGGATAGTTATAAGATCTGTAAGAGCCTCCCAATAAAATGATTAATGATGCAAGAGAAGAAATCCAGGAGAGGTGACTCTAGAGACAGTAAGTGGATTACTCCTTTCTTGGGGTGACAGCAGGGAAGACTGGGCAAAGGGGAGCTAACAACAACAAGCAGAAAAGAAGAAAGGTTCTGAAATTGATCATGGTGATGATTGCACAACTGACACACTGAACTTTATGTCAATAAAAATGTCAAACTGAAAAACAAAAAGAAAGCGGTGGGTCTGAACAATTGGCAGGGTGGAGCTGCCAGGTGTTGGCATTGGGACAACTTGGAGAAGAGGCTTGGAGGGCAGCACGAGTTGTCTTGGACAAGTTGAATTTGAGACACTTAGCACACCAGGTATAGAAAGAGCTGGTTATGCGTCCAGAGTCATAAATCTGAGGTGTGGGGATAAATGTCTAAGTCTTAAGACTATAGATCAGGGGTCCTCAAACTTTTTAAACAGGGGGCCAGTTCACTGTTCCTCAGACTGTTGGAGGGCCGGACTACAGTTAAAAAACAAAAACAAAAAACTATGAACAAATTCCTCTGGGCCTGGGACGAGTCGGCTGTTAAGCAGGACAGGCAGCAGCGGCAAAAACACCTGGCGGGCCGGATAAATGTCCTCGGGCAGGCCGCATGTGGCCTTCAGGCCGTAGTTTGAGGACCGCTGCTCTAGATATTTAAAGTCTTAGACTAGGTGAGGTCACCTTGCACTGAATGTCAGCTGGAGCATCAGGACATGGAGGGGGGTGGTCTCACTTGCTTAATGACTGGGGATAAGAGATACATAGATGCTAAAAGTCCTGCCCCATATGGGGCAGTCTCCTAGAGTACAGAGCTACCCACTCAAAAGTCTAATTGACTCCCTCACCGAGGAACAGTGACTTCGGAAACGAGTGTGGGAAGAGAAGAGAAGCCTGCGTTCTGAGCATGACAGTCTTCTGCTTAGAAGGCAAGGGAGGGAGGAAGGGACTTCAAAGTCAAGCCAACATTATTTCTGAAACAGTAACTGTTAAGGGTTATTTGTGCCTCCCATGAACACAGAAAAATCAATAGTATATGTTTAGTTGTCTTATAAACAAATGCTATAAGGCACTGGCCAGGAATAGGGCAGGGTGCTCTAGATCTGTATCCTAGTATTTTTCATAAAGGCTGGCATGTGACAAACATCGTGCACGGGCGATAGAGGTACAAAAAAGCCTGCATGTTCAGCTACACTGCTTGAAGAAGGCCATGAGAAGGTATTTGGATAGGACCTTACTCCCAGGATGGGGCGGATGTTGACCCTTAAGGATGCCATGTAGAGAATTTGGGCAGATGAGTCTCTCAAGCAAATGAAAATACTAGTGACTCATCTGAGCATCTTCTCGGAGTCAGTCTCGAACTATATGTTTCACAACTATTATTTCTGATGGTGGCTTTCCTGGAAGGCAGGTATTAGCTGTGAGGACAGAGATTAATGCCCAGCAATGTCTCTTCTTAAACCCAGGTAACCTGGACTCCAAAGCTGGGCTCTTTCAACTAGGGCTCATCTCTTTGCATGAGAAGGGTGGAGGACTGGTCAGGATTGGTGCCAAAGGAGTGTCGGGGGACAGCTTGACAGGATCTCAGAAAGACACAGGGATGTTCTCTGAGAGCATTAGCCCGGGGGGCTAACTGCTCTCTGAGTGTTGGGGGATTGTGGGAAGCTTCCGTGGCCTTGTGGCACAATGGTTTCTGTGAGTTTAGAAATGCATAAGGGCAGGAACAGATGGCAGAGAGGGTCCGTCCAGGGCCAAGGAAAGAGAAGACCACGGCCTTACATTCCGAATCTAACCGCCCGGGCTCAAGGAGAGCGGTGGCATGCGCACAGAACTCCAGCATTCAGTCTAAGCATGCGGGTTACATCGAGATGGGAAAGGCCCATCAAAGCTGCAGGAATACTTGGAATGAAACATGTTCATTAAATTCAGGTTATCTTTTTTGACTCCACAGCATTATAGCCTTGACAATCTTTCGATTTTGGGACTGCTACTGTACATAGAGAAGAAGTCTCCTTACCCACGAGTGTACAAAGACGCCTTTTTGAGAGCTGTTCTGGTTCTGAGCACTAGCCACGCTATGACGTCACCGGCAGCTCTATGGGCCTGCTAACAGGCCCAGGCTCCAGCCAGATGGCTCAACAGTGCTGGAGAGGGTACTGTCACCTGACTAGCACAGATTTCTCTTGGAACTAGCAAGATGGGACTCTCTTGTTGGTGCTATTAGGTGCTGTTAAGCCAATTCTGACCATAGCAGAGGTCATTTAATAGCAGAACTGCCCCATGGGTCCCTAAGCTGCCATCTTTAGGAGAGCGGATGGCCAGGTCTTTCTCACGCAGTGCCACCGGGAGGGCTAAAGCTTTCAACCTCTCTGTCCGCAGCGGAGTACTGACAACTGCTGTACCAGGGCCCTTTTCTCTTCTATTAGCAACTGAATAGGGAAACCAAGAACAATTAAAAGGGGAAAAAATTGAAACCCAGAATTTTTCAGTGATTTGTCGCTTTGTCTAAAAGGTACCACACAGATAAATGACGTTCCCGTCTAGCAGAGAGGTGAGAGATTTAGTGCGCGCTTTCACAAACCATAATCGATATGTTCAGACAATAAAGGCTCTTCTCCAAAAAGCAAACAGAAGGAACACACATCTTTCAAAAGGAGAGCAGCCGAGACGGCCTCGGGGCATACTCTGAAGGCTCATTCACTTCTCAGCATTCGAACAACCGTTCGCATTTTCTCCTGTTCCCAGCCTGGGCATAAGGTCCAGGGAGCCCACCCGTGGGAAGAGTCAGAAGGATGTTGTCAGACGCAGACATGTAGCCCCAGAACCAGAGTCTGCCCGTGTCCAAAGGCAGAGCCCAGCAGGCGGCCCAGGCGTGCGGGGCCACCGTGTCCTCACCCGCGGCAACTGATCCCACTGCTCCTTGTTCTTCATCTCTTCTTGCACTTCGTGGATCCGCTTCAGAGACTCCAGACTCTCGTCGAGCAGAAAGGTCGTGTCATTGATCAGCATGTTTATATAGCGAACAAACTGCTTCCCGGAACTGAAAAGGCAGTGACAGTGTACAGGGTTATACACCTCCCCGGACTGGAGCCCTCAAAAGAAGCCTCCGCCCAGCCACCTCCACTTGGAGGTTTGCCCACCTGAGCACAACTTCAAGGACTGCCGAGTCTCTTGAAGTCACCGACGCCGTGTTACTAATGTTGAGAATATATACGCACACAGAATCTAAACCAACTCCGCAACCTTTCTTGTTGGTTTCCAGGGAGTCGATTCCAACTTGCGGTGACACGTGTGCTATAGCACTGCTCCCTAGAGCATTTGGGCTATCATCGCATTTTGTTGCTGCTGCTGAGAAGACACACAGCGACATTCACGAACGCTAGCAATTTGCGCACGCGCAGCTCAATGACAGGGACTGCACTCTTCAAGCGGGGCAAGCGGCCGCAGCCCTGCTTTCGGAATGGTCCCTCCCCCTTAGGATAAACCCACGGCTCCATAAGCTGTCACTCTGACCCACGCGCTCGAGCGACAAGGGGCACCGTGTTCTACAGAGACATCGTTTTGGACGTACGCTGCAACTCTCGGTTTGGTTTTAAGAAAACTCCAGGGGATGCTATTGGTGTAAGGCCGTGGTTCTCTACCTTCCTCATGCCGTGACCCTTTCATACAGTCTCTCATGTGGTGGTGACCCCCACCCCACACTATGAAATTATTTTCATTGCTACATCATCACTGTAATTTTGCTACTGTTATGAATCGTCATGTAAGTCGTAATGTGTTTTCTGATGGTCTTAGGGGACGCCTGTGCAAGGGTCGTTTGACCCACAGGTTGAGAACCACTGGTGTAAGGTTTAAAGATCATCTCAGGGTAAAGTTTCAGGGGTTCTCTCAGCCTCCATGACTCTAGAAAGTACAGAGTCGGCGAGAGCCAACTTTTAGGGATACATAAGTGCCAGTTAGTAAATATTCTGGGAATGTGTTAGCTGCTCAGATTTGGCTTCAGTGGGAGTGCCCAGGACACTGTTACCCGTCACCCAGCTGCCAGCAGTGTTGGTGGTACAGCACCTCAACAGCTTTAAGTGGACCAAACACTGTGCCAGCCTCGAAAGATGTTACAACTAGAAACAGGGCACCAAGATACGAGGGAAGCATAAACAATTACCCGCTGAAGAGATAAGAACCCACTGATCTGTTACGTTATCAAAAGAGACACACTGAAGACAAAAGACAAGCAGTATTTATCAAGCAGGATATTGATTTACAGACGTGAAGCTTCCAATGTCAGGAGCTGCTGTTTGATCAGGTTACACTGGAGAACTTGCTGGGGGCAGCGTGGATTGCCTCTTTGACTCGCTACCTTCCTGACAAGCAGCAGAGAAGAGGACTTTGCCTCAGGATCGACGCTGTGTAACTGGGTGGGGGTGGGCTACCTTCCTGGGGAAGAGTCGTTCCTACAAAGCAGGGTGGGCGGTCTGGACCTCAGGGACATTAGAAGCTCACGCAAGCTCTCCCAACTACAGAGTGCAGGGGGGAGGGGGGGGGGGAGCGGCGCTGCTTGAGGGCTAAGCTTGTCCCACGGTGTGGCTGGAACAGAACACTGCCTGCACAGCACTTTATGGAAGCACAGAACTAAGGAAGTGACTCTACAGAACGCTACCTGGCAATGGTTCTGCCACTAATAAAACACATGTCGTCAGCTTGGAATCCAGTTAACAAGCTACATCAAGCCGTGTTCAAAGACCCAGAGGTTTCTAAACGACCCAAGGAGAGGGATACAATTTCTTCTGAAGACAATTTCATTTCCCTTGCTTTTTTAAGCATGGGCAGAATATACAGATGGATTTATTAACCCTGTACTCTCAGGTGGGTGTGTAGAAAGTGTTTAATCAAGGTTTAGGGTCTGACTACAAACAAGAGCATTTCAACTGACAAACCCAACCTAACTGCTTCTAGGTCTAAGGTCCTGCTAACAGGGTGACCCCTGGTTCGAGGGGATATTCAAGAGCCCTAGAGATCTGGTTCAGTCACTCTGACAACTTCATGTTCGCTGTGATCACAGGAGCACGGAGAAAAAACCCAAACACTTAACACCTCATCTCAGAATATTTAGATCCTTTTTTCCTGTACACCAGCCCTGGAGTATCTTGCCAAATCTACAGTCGGCGCTCTCTTGCAAGCGCCGACATTGAGATAGCCCTGCCCGCAGTCGGCAGTGCCATCGGGACCGCCCACAACAGGCGGGGACCACTCATCAAGCGCCTGGCAGGGAAAGCACTTACGCTGCAACCCTCCCTGCGATGTTCAAGAGCGCAAGCTGTGCCATCAGGCGCCCGGTACTTACTTGAACTCCTCCATAAAGGTCCCATGGTGAGCGATGTTTTGCCAAAGGCTTTTGAAAATGGTGCTGATGTGATAGCGAATTGTGAACTTGTCATAGAACTCACTGGTGGCTCCGGTGTGCTCAACATCTAAAGAAGAAAAGAAGCAAACACATGGTAGGGTACGTTCTTCCTTGCCTTTCTAACACGCTACAACATTACCGAATGGGTGTGTCTGATAAATACTTCTCCCCCGGCCTGGAAAGCAGGAGAGAAATGACAAGTTGGTTTTCGATCAACATTCCCCAGGTTTGGCAATCTTGGGCTGGGAGAGTGTTGGTGTCAGTGGGTAACGATGACTGGGCGGCGACCACAGCTGAATTCTTCTACCTCCACCCCAAATTTCAATTGATGCGCTTATTACAGGCATACCACACCCTTCAAATGAGCTTCTCTAAGTGGAGGAAATTTATGTTTTATTAGTGGTCATGTACCTATTAAGTGTGCTTTATTTTTTTAAAAACTGTACTATGGCCATTTCCCCACACAGAGACAGAGAAAGGCAGGGTGAAGGCTTGTGCCACCATCGCCCAGCGCTACTGATGATCAACATCCCACACCTATTCAAACAGAGCCAGGAGGGACTTGTTTGTCCAAAGGACAAACCGTTTAAGCCTGAGGAATTCCTGAATCATAACAAATTTTAAGATGAGGAAAAACTACTGGGCAAATTCAAATGCTTTTTAAGAAAAAGATAAAGTAAATTAAACCAGGCAGACAGGACAGAAACGGCAGTGCTAATGTGCCGTGGGCATTATCTGGGGTACACTTTCTCTAAGAGCAACCTGACAGAAGGTACCACAAGCCATAAACATGCCCACCTGCCTGCCCAACACCTGCAGCCACATCCTAAGACCCATCTCCAGGGGCACCCACTGCAACGGAACACACAGAGTAACTTCCATGTCTAGGTGAAAACTACGAGCTATAAAACATGCCATAATTTTGGCATAATCATTATTTAAACACTCCCCCCGCCCCACTCCTCACTTACTGAGAACCTCATTATCAAACATTTCCCATGTATGACAATAAAAAGTCTACTTAGTCATTAAAAAGTCTACTGCCTTGTTTGCTTCTGAATGAGGTAGGTCTGGCAGTAACGAATACCAACGTGCGAGGGAGAGAGTCACACTGGCTGTGATGGTGAAGGCCAGGCGCCAACTTGGCTGGACTCTGATTCTCAGTGGTTTGGCAGTTACATAATGACATAATTTGGCAATTACAAAATGGTGTAGTCATCATTCCATTGTGTGATCTGATCCTCTGTTTTCACATAATGTCAAATTCCTGAGTTAACAGAGATGATTGTGGCTCTTCCATTTTCTTTGGCTTCTTCCGAAATGGTTTCCCTTTTCGTACTTCCTAGATTTCCCCCCTTTTTGCTCATCATTGAAGCTATTTTAAGGCTAAAATAGAAAACATTATTTACAAAGAAAGGAATAAAGTAAATAACACCCACCACACAGACATCTGAAAGCACTGACGCATATTCACAACGCTAACCCTCCTAGAAGACGAACTATGTGTCATTTTATTAATTACATAAAAGCGTGCACTAGAGTGTGGAGAGCTGACCCACGAGCCTATTACAACCCCCCTTATATCATCTAAAACTGCCCGTCCGTGTCCTGAGCCCGTGATGCTAGGTGCTATCGGGTTGGGTCTGACTCATAGAAACCCTCTCTACTCCTACAGGAAACACTGCCAGCCTCTGTGCCATCATCACTGTCATTGTTGTCTCTGAGCCCACTGCTGTGGGCACTTGAAATCTGCAAGTTTAAGGTCTGTCTCCAGACTGGAATGTCTGATTCGGGAACTTGGACATCTTCACCAACTTTGCCTGAGTACTGAAAACAGCGTCAGCACGTAGTAGGTGCTTCAGAACTATTTGCTGCACTCGCAACTGGATCGGTTTTAGTACAGAGAACCACGGTCGTGGTGATCAGTGTCTTTCTAAGCCCCAAGTACAGGAAGCTATTGTCATAGGAATAAAATATTTCTACTTGAAAACTTTCTGCCTAAGCATTTCCTGTGCTTGGACACTATTGCTCTCTCTGTACTGCCCTGGGCATCATCCACATGCCCAGGGCTGAGAGGGCCAGGCATGTTCAGGACTCAGGATCGAAACCAGTGGGTGGGTCTTAGACTAGGGGCTCACGGGCACTTAAGTGGGCAGGGGGACCTGGGAACTCATTTTCTTTCTGGCCACTTCCCAGATTGGCTTAGTTCTTCCAAGGGCCTGGGGACAGAGGGCTTTCACATGGACCTCTGGACCAGGCCTTGCAGCCTCTTGGGAACTATGTGAAGAGCAACACAGCAACCAGGCGCACCTGTGCGGAAGGCCAACTGCTGCAGCTACTGGCTCTGCCACTCACCGGTGGGTGACCTTCGGCAAGCTTCATGACCTCTCTAAGCTTCAGTTTCCTCATTTGTAAAACGCAGATATTTATAGCGCCCATTTTTAGACAGCTATAGGATTAAATGAAAGGATTAGTAAGTGCGCAAGAAGGGGTAGCTATTATTAGTCTAAGGATCATCTCTCCGGGGCCAGGGCTCACCGTGCTCCACAGTACCCAGGAAGAGGAGAACAGCACCCACCTGCCACCTCTTGGAATGTGACCAGTGAAGCTCTGCCAGGCTAGAGGCCCAGCCCTGTGTCTGCTCCTTCAGGCTGGAACAACCACACACACTCACGCACTTCATCCCAGAGCCACCATGAGAGCCCAGGTCACTAACGGGGGCACCACTCCATCAACTAATAGATACGCACATGCGCATGTTGGACACAGGTATGCACGCCTAAGTTACAAAGAAGACTGAATTCCACCCATCACTCTACCATTCAAAATGTGTCCTTCCAGCTCTGTTATACAAGGAGTTCTCAACAAGAGAGAGAGAGAGAGAGAGAAAGAGAGAGATTATAATAATAATAAAAAAAAGAACAATGTCCCCTTAAATCTATATATTGGCATTTTACCTGAAGTGGGGAAAAAAGGTTTGTGGAAAAATGCCATTATCTTTTAAGTTCTACTTGTCCTCAAACTACTGGCAGCTGAGCGCATAACCACCGAGCTGCCTCCTTGAATCTCTGAGCGGATGTCATAAAGCAACAGCGAGGAAGGGGAAGCCGGGCAACACCCTTGGGAGCCTCAGTATCAGGGGAAAGTGAGCAGCCATCTTCCCGTGCTCGGATGCTGCTGTGCACGGTGAGGGACTGCGTTCTGGACGCCCAGAGCTTTGTAGAGGAGTTCTGAAAATACCTGGTGAGAATATGCTTTTAAACGTCACCAACGTTTACTGAGAGCCCAAACATGCCAGGTTTGATGAGCAATAAGAAGACATATTTCCTTGCCTTCAGGAGTCTACAAGGGGCAGGAACATGCACCAGTGCTGCTCCTATGTGCCTTGGCCGGGGAACAGACAAATAGATCTTACATGTAATCAGATTTTTGGAAACACATTTGCATAGTTGAAAAATGAAATTAAAAATTCTATTTGGAATATAACCCAGGCATAAAAAGAGGGCCTCTCACAGGCCACAAATAAGTGACCTAGTATTTACAACAGTGGCCTGCAAATGGTAAGCACTCGGTCGATCCCTGTGAGTCGGTGAACGAATGAGCACTTCAGAGGCTCCAAGGGCTCCTGGCTCCGCTGGCTCGAGTAGGCTCCAAAAGCAAGCATTTGCAACAAGCTCCCTATTTCACTCACGCTTGGAAAATGCTGGTTAGAATTAATTCTGTAGGATCCGACCTAAAACGAACCAAATCAAAAACAAAACAAAACAAAAAAAAAAACCCAAAACGAACCAAATCCTTTCACTCAGAGGAAAACACCAATGTATGCTGTAGACACAACTGCCCCCAGTCACCATGGACTCTCATTAGACCCTGAGGACCCACAGTAGCCGGCACTACTTGTACTGCTTGAGGAGAAGGCCCAGCAGCACTAGATGGGGCACGGCTGGCAGAGGGCTGGCCAGGCAGACTGAAGTGGTGCCCACATAGATGTGGGGATAGTAAACGTGTAGAGTCACGGCATCCCTCGGCTTTAGACAGCCCTGCCCAACTCCAACTGTCACGGTCACCGCTATGCCCAGCGCCGACCTACCTGTGTAAAACTTCATCAGGGATGGGACCAGCAGCTTGGTGGAGAGAGGGTGATTCTCGATCATTTCAAAAAACTTCTGGGTTCGTGGCTGAACAGCAGGATTGGTCATGAACATGACCTCCACCAGCTTGGCCACCAGATACGGATTCCGGATGTAGCTCTGGCTGCACAACATCACAACAAGGAACATCACAACATCCTGAGTGCAGGGCTCATAAAGCGCCTGAGGGGAGTGTCTGAGGAGAGCGAGAAAAGACATCTCTGAGACACAGCCTGGGCGGATGCTGACGCCATTAAATTGGGGCGAGAGGGCAGGCAGGGGGATGGCTACAGGAAGGGCAGGTCTAGGATACACTGAATTTCCTTGAGGTTAAATTGATTACTTGCTTTAAAACTAGAGACTCAAACCCAATGCTCACATGGGCTACTAAGTGCTACATTAACATAAAGCTTTTTTTTTGGGGGGGGGGGCAGAAATCGTAACTGGAACTAAAGTCAGTTACATTTCACAAACTTCTTCACCACTGCAAGGACTTTCAAGAAAATACTGATGAAGTTAATTGCTCTAATGAAAAAATGCCTGAAAATATCACTTTTAAAACTCAAGCTAGTTCTTTGTAAGCTGTCTCTAATTTTGGTATAAAATTCAGGGAAAAAAATTGGTACGAGAGAGATGTAGGTTATTTCTGGTTTCTGGATGCTTACTCAGATATTTATAAACTGCCCATGCCTTCTGTTTCTCAGAAACCCATATTCAACTGTTAGGATTCAGTTCCGTTTTCACAGACTACATGATTATCAGAGTTGTTAAGTCCACTGCTGTCTCTGAGATATTATTGGAACTGGCTTGTTGCCATAGTTGGATTTATTTTTCCATTCTGGAGGCCGCGTCCGTTAAAAACTGCTACATCAAATGTCGCGCACAGAACAAAGGCTTTGCAATGCAGTTCCTACCGTGGACCCATCATATACAAAAGCAGATTAGAGCAATTATGCAGAATTTTAAAGGCACTTACTGTACAATAAAAAATAAAAATTCAGCAACATCTTCTACATAAAACTCAGGCAATGCTGCAAATACCTTGGGGACATCTGAATTTAAAGGCAGTGTTATACTGTCAAGGAAGAAAAACAAAAGGCACAATTTACAAGTCAGTTCTGGCACATCAAACTATCAGGAGTACCATCCTTCGTTACAAGTAAGCTTCTTACCTGGAGGTAAAAACCTCGTGTTTTCACGACATGAAAATTCCACATGGGCCAAGAAGCCACAACCAGAAATGAACAATGAGTAACAAAGAGAGTGAGTGTACTAGGGTCATAAAATTATGTGTGAGATGCTTTCCCTTTTCTTGATACCCTAACAATGGCATTGTTAGTAAAATAATTAATATTCGGAGACTCTGAAAAGGTTACACTGGTCAATTTGTGCCACTCAACCTATTTGGGACAACAGAGCGACACATCTTTTCAGTGACAATTTCTGGGCCTGCAGCCCAGTTTGGGTCGGTTCGCCAATAATGACCCAGAGACTTCAGCAGAACATGGCTGCCGGGCCCGAGGAGCCGTTGACAAAGAGATTGACAATACTTCTAGCACCCCATGAGCGTTGACAAAGAGATTGACAATACTTCTAGCACCCCATGAGTTAGGCAGACAGCTTCCTGCACCCATTGCTCCGGAGCGCCTGGTATCCGTAATTTTCAGCTTTCAGCTTTGCATCTAG